CCCCCCAGTGGGGGTGAAGGCTTCCAGCAAGTAGCATGCTGCCAAAGGTGATCAATATTGGACCATAAAACAGCCAGGATTCTCCAAAGGATACGTGACCGAGGGGGCGAAGGATATCAGCAAGCTGCAGGCTGCCACAGTGGATCAATATTGGACCACAGACCCCAAGAGTCACGAGTTGTCCAGGCATAGGACCCGGGCCTTGGGTAGCTTTTGCGCGCTCGAACCGCGCCAAAAGCCCGTGGACGCTGCCCGCTGAAACCATTCGTATGGGATTAATGTGCAAACCAGTTAGGACTCGGGCCTTGGGTAGCTTGTGCGCGCTCGAGCCGCGCCGAAAGCGCGTGGACGCTGCCGGCTGAATCCTTTCATATGGGATTTATGCCCAAGTATGCAAACCAATAAGGTTTGGTTGCCAGAAATCAACAGAGGACTCGAAGGTCCAAGCAAAGCTATAAGGAAGACCTTTGGGAGCCCCTCCCGAGCATTGGGCTAGGGAGCCCCTCCCCGAGCACAAAGTCCTCCAGAGCCCCTTTTCGAGCACTGGAGTGGAGCCCCTCCTCAAAAGGACTCGAGGGCTCAGGCTCGAAAACCTTTGAAAAGGACCATTTGATGTCCCCAGAAGCTTTCTGGAGTGTTTCCAAGCCCTCAGAGGCTCCAAACGCCTTTGAAAAGGAGACGACGCCCGGAGGCTCAGATGGGGCAGAGAGGGGGGTTATTCTTTATTATACAATAGAGTGTGTGCGCACATACGTTGCGCTTTTTTTGTGTAGCTCGTGTTACGGTATGGTTTAGACCTTACTCGTTGGCGTCAGTTCCAGGCCCAGATAGGAGGCTTAACCCTCCTATAGCAGCTCGCATTCCGGTGGCTATAATAAAGAATATCCGCTCGGCCCTTAGGGCCTCGGGAGCTGCCTGGCCACGGCAGCTAGCGCTCGAGGGCTGCCGTATGGCGCCATCGCCCTCTCGCTTAGTTTAGGGTTTAGGGTTTAGGGTTTATAGCAATTATATAGGGTTCAGGTCCAAATAAGTTTTGGGGGGGTTTTGGAAGGGTTTTGGTTTTTTAACTTTTGAGCTTGAAAGTTTATATAATTGCTATTTATCAGACGCCTTGAGGGTTTAGGGTTTAGGGTTTCTCTAGCGGCGCGCCTCGACCCAAAGGGTCGCGGGGCGGCGCACCACAGCGTTACGCTTCAACCCACCCCAAGACCACCCAAACACATAATCTTTTAGGGTTTAGGGTTTTTCAAGGAAACCCTGGACGGGCGGGCATATTTTCCACCAAGACAAATAAGCGCATCGAAGAGTTCAATAGGTTTCAGGGCTTTATGCTAACTCCCACGCTTGTGAGACCCCGTTTTTGTTTTTCCACCTGGCCTAGGCTTAAGCCTGGGATCGACCACCCGGGGTTTACCCGTGGGGTTAACCTTTTTGCCCGAGGTTTACCCCCCTGGCATGAAAAGGCTTCTAAGACAAGACCTGGAAATGCCACCTGTCCTCAACTGTCCTACGAGGGACGACGACAGAATCATTGTGAGTAGCCGGTTCTGCGGCTCACCCCAGGATTTGCCACGAGCCGGGCCGTTCGCCATTAAAAATTGCTCAGCGGAGGGTGAACCCGCGAAGGGCCTGCAAAATGTAAATTTTACTTTGTCTGGCGCCCCACAGGAGAAAAGCCCGCAGACACCAGGAGACTGCGCAAACAGCCCGGGAAGCAGGAGGACAATATTGGAACAGCCTGCGAGGTGCCGAGAGGCGACCGGCAGGGAGGCAGGAAAGGACCATATGGACAGGAGGCAGGAAAGGACCATGTGGACAGCCTGGGAGGCACCAGAGAGGCACCAGGGAGACAGGAAACGACCATTTGGACAGTGTGGGAGGCACCAGGGAGGCAGGAAAGGACTAATTGGATAGCCTGCGAGGCACCAGGGAGGCACCAGGGAGGCAGGAAAGGGTCAATTGGACAGCCCGGGAGGCACCAGGGAGGCAGGAGAGGACTAATTGGACAGCCCGGGAGGCACCAGGGAGGCAGGAAAGGACCAATTGGACAACCCGGGAGGCACCAGGGAGGCAGGAAAGGACTAGTTGGCAGGCTGGGAGGCACCAGCGAAGCACCAGGGAGGCAGGGAAGGATTAATTGGACAGCCTGCGAAGCACCAGGGAGGCACCAGGGAGGCAGGAAAGGACTAATTGGACAGCCCGGGAGGCACAAGGGAGGCAGGAAAGGATCATTTCGACAGCTTGGGAAGCACCAGGGAGGCACCAGGGAAACAAGAAAGGACCATTCGGACAGCCCGGGAGGCACCAGGGAGACAGGAAAGTATAAATTGGACAGCCTGCGAAGCACCAGGGAGGCACCAGGGAGGCAGGAGAGGACCATTTGGACAGCCCGGGAATCACCAGGAGGCACCAGGGACCACCAGGGAGGCAGGAAAGGACCATTTGGACAGTCGAGGAAGCACCAGGGAGGCATCAGGGAGGCAGGAAAGGACCACTTGGACAGCCTGCAAGGCACCAGGGAGGCACCAGGGAGGCTGGAAAGGACCATTTGGACAGCCCGGGAGTCACCAGGACGCACCTTTCAAGGAAAAACTTCACCACCCTTTTAGGGTCAAACCCTTGGGGTTTAGGGTAATAAATATCTACATATTTAGCGCTGTCAGCGCGGGCACTGAAGGTGGGCATGTAAAGCGTCCCGGAGCATGAAGCTAACTCTTCATGCTCACCTTGTAAGGTGCCTTGCACCTCATTAACCTTCGGTGTTTGGTGCTAAGCGCACAGCGCGCGCGTGATGGCATGGAACTCCTAAGCGTCGTGTACACCATCACGCGCTTTAGTTTAGGGTTTAGGGTTTAGGGTTTTAGGGTTTAGGGTTTAGGGTTTAGGGTTCGCCAACACAGTTGGCGTTGAGAGACCACGTGAGCATCACCAGCACAAAACACCACCACAAAGCCAAAACAAAACCTTTTTACCCACCACGCCCTTCACCTTAGAGAATTTTAAAGGGAAAATGAAAAGGAAAAGGAAAAGAAAAGGAAAAGGATCAGGAAAGGAAAAGGAAAAGGAAACAGAAAAGCCAAAGGAAAAGGAGAGGAAAGGAAAAGGAAAAGCCTTTTTTGCACACCACGCCCTTCACCTTAGAGAACCTCAGCGAATTTTAAACGGAAAATGAATTGGAAAAGGAGAGGAAAGGAAAGGAAATGGAAAAGGAGAAGAAAGGAAAGGAAAAGGAAACGCCTTTTTTACACACCACGCCCTTCACCTTAGAGAATTTTAAAAGGAAAATGAAAAGGAAAAGGAAAATGAAAAGGGAGGAAAGGAAAAGGAAAAGCATTTTTGTGCACACCACGCCCTTCACCTTAGAGAACCTTAGCGAATTTTAAAAGGAACATGAAATTGAAAAGGAGATGAAAGGAAAGGAAATGGAAACGGAGAGGAAAGGAAAGGAAAAGGAAAAGCCTTTTTTACACACCACGCCCTTCACCTTAGAGAATTTTAAAAGGAAAATGAAAAGGAAATGAAAGGAAAAGGAAAAGGAGACCACGAAAAGGCTAGAATTGCAAGGAATCTTGAAACTTGCAGCTTGTTTGCAGAGGCTAGGAACCTTGAAACGTTGAGTTTGCGGAGGCCCGGAAATGCCAAAAAAAACCTTGAAACCTTGAGCCCCAGACGCCCGGAAACGGCAAGAAACCTTAAAACGTGAAATTGGTGAGGTGGGCAAATGGCCAGAAAGCTTGACATTTGCAATTTGCAAAAGCTAGAAACTTTGAAACCTTGAGCCTGCCCGGAAAAGGCCAGAAGCCTTGGATCCTTGAGCTTGTAGGGGCCGGGACAAGGATACAAACAGAGGCCAAGAAAAGGCCAGAAACCTTCAAGGCTTGAGCTTGCAGAGACTGGGAAAGTTCCGAAAGCTTGAAGGTTTGACCTGGCAAAGGCCCAGAAAGCGCGACGCCTTGAAACCTTGAGCCTGTAGAGGCCTGCACAAGGGCTGGAATGTGGCAAGAACACCGGCTTGCAGAGGGCATCAAATGTTTCAAAACCTTGAAGCGTCAAAGTTAGCCCAAAGCCGATAATTAAATATTACAAGGATTGAGTGTAGGGCGCGGCTAAAAAGGTTTAGTTAAACATGAAATGATGAGGCGCAGGGCATGGGGACAAAGATGTTCTTTGTCCTCTGCTCTTCTTTCTCGTGGTGATGGCTGGGGACACTACTGGCACATGGTTTACACACTCAAGGCCGCTGTTTCTATCACGCAACAAGCAACAATTGTTCTTGTTTTGTCTTCAATGCAAATTGCCCCCCTTCGAGTTAACATCGCAATCAACAGCCGTATGCTTTTTCCCTTGGCGCCGACATGGTGGCTGTGGCCATCCGCCTGTGCAGTTTTCGCGTCAAGCCTCTAGTTGCCGAGCCTGAATTCCAGCAAGGCCAATGTTTTAAACCGTGCAAATTGGGAAGCGGCGGGCGCGGGCATCGACCGCAACAAGATCGAGCTCCTCGCCAGCGCCATCAAAAACAACGGTGAGTTCTTGGTTCTGGCTCCGCAAAGCGTCGTCCTCCACAGCCACTTGTTTCAGGCGGTGCGCAAGGCTTGCCATAGCCAGCGCGGGCCTCCTTAGCAAAGCTCCTTGGAGGCGGGCGATCTCTCTTCCAGCCAATGTGGCGCAAACAGCTTGGAAGACTCCACGATCTGGCTCGATCGTCAAGGTGCAATTTGCGATGATGCCGCGCGGAACCTCTCGCACAGCCAAACCCCAGCAACGGGGGATCATTTCCCCAAACCAATAACCAGGCTCACGGCACTCAGATTCCACATGATAAAGGGCAACAAGGCTTGGACCATCGGGCGCCCACTCATCCAAGTAACAATGGAGATCTTCGCCCTCGTCATCAAGCTGCAAGTGAGGGAGGTACCATCCAGGCGCGTCCTGCGCGCTCACCTCCAGCTCCACGCTGGTCATGTCCAAGAGCTTCCAAGCAGAAGCAGGCGCAGCCGCGCACTCCGCCCATTCCAATTGCAGACCGCTCATGGCAACGTGGGGTGAGTGTCTAAAAAAATATTTGACCTTAAACGGCGGGCGTCGCCTCGCAAGAGTTGGTGTTTACGCGCGACAAAACTGGGTGTGTGTATTATGGTTGAAATTTCGACCAAAAGCCTTCGTTCGCACATGGCTCTGAAGAAGCGATTTCACAATTCAGTCGCTAGGTCTTCAAATCTTTGCAAAAACAACAAGAGCAAAGTGAGCAAAGCCAGCCGTAAAATCACATGTTGCTATTCCGCGTTTTGTTTTGCGCCGCGTCGCTCCGCCCTGTGAGCGCTCCTGTACAGATCTTCAAAAGCCCAGCTGCACCGCTGGTCTACATCATTGCGCGGTTGCCCGTGCTGTCATGGTTTATGACCGCCCTCGCTTCCGGCATTGTGGACAATAACGCTGCCGTGAACCTTGTGCTGGCTGCTCGAATTGGGCCGCGCATTTCCTACACGTGTGCAATCCTTTTGTATAGGTCTGTTTTACAGAACAATTTAAGCAATACCGGCATTGATGGCGCTTGCCATCTGTAAAGCTCTCGTCCGGAAATGTCACTGCGCAGCTCCGGCAAGTGAACCAACCGCCGCGAAACTTGTTATTCTTCTCCGCCGCTGTGTCCTGACGAGAACATTCGATGGACGACAGTGAGGGAACACATGCAATTTAGTACGGGTTGGCTTGTCATGAGCGCACGCTTGTCCCACCCCCAGAAAACCGGTCCTGGCAGCTCTTGCAAGCCACATTGTCCGACGGCATGGTGATCATCACTTTGTGGAAGTCCTCGGTTGGCTTTGCGCGCTGGCATATGCTGCACGTCAGCCTGGACGCTTGCCGCCGGCAAGTCAAGCATTGCCGCTTCGCTGCTGCATCTTCTTGGGCCAGCTGCGCCCTTGGAAAGGCGTGTTCCACTTTGTGCAAGTGGCACGCCATGCATTTGAACTTTGCACCTGCAGCGACCTTGCGCTTGGTAGTGGCCCCGCCATCGGTGTGAACGCATCTGAGGCACACGCCCGGCAAGTTCGAGCGGATTTTGCCCCACTGCTGGGATGAGAAAGCATCCATAGGCCGGACTTGCTGGCATGTTTGGCAGCTCCCCACAGGCATCAAAGTTTCACGGTAAGTTGCCCAATCGATGTCTTCACCTCGCAGATGTCGCAGCAGCATTTGCGGGCCCTCCGATGCACCACGTTGATAAAGCCACAGAGGAAAAGGCCGCAAAATCAACACGTCTTCCCTGCAGGCGACACGGCTGCAAACCACGGTGCCAAACCGGCTGTCGGTGCGCTTGTCCACGTTCAAGTCTACCATCACGGCTGGTTTGGTTTTCCCTTGGCTGCCGTGGGCGGTGACAGCAAAGGCAGGCACCAGGGGTAGCTGGCGCCTCTTCACTGCTAAGACCGGGCGCTCACGCCTGCGATCCAGATACCATGTGGCCTTGATTGGATACACGGGGTAAATGCCCGGCTCGTCTGTGCCGTCGAGCTGCCAAGTTGCACCGTCAAACTTCACATAGACCACTGTAGGCATGTTGTCGTTGACAGGCCAGACCCAGGAATGCACGTGGCCCTCTCGGCCCTGTTGCCACAAGGTTGGACAAGCGTTTCGCGAAAAAGAAACCCAATGTACGAATACGTGCGATTTGTGTGGACGCGAAGCGCTTCCCGCCCGCCTTGAAGAGGCCTCTCGCCTTGTTCATGTGTTCGGCGGCCAGCGCCACAGGCATTCCCACTGCGAGCGGCAGTGTTCCAGGAAGTTCGCCTGTGTCCCGGTCGTGATATTGGAGCCACCTGCAGCGCGCGCAGACAAACCGCTGGGCGCGCTTGCCAAGTTTACAACAGCAACGCGATCGGAGAGAACGAAAACAAAAGCGTGCTTTCACGCTGCTCGCGCCTGATCTTCGCATCTTTATCGCAGGCATCTGCTTGCAACGCTTTGGACGAAGCCAGATCCACTGCCAGAGACCACCGCGGGCTCGGAACCGAAAGGTCCCGGGTTCGAACCCCCCTGCGCTCTGTCCAGGCGACGTGCCCACCACGTACACATGCCTACGTGTGTGGTTCTTAGTGTTTGTCGTCGTCGATTTCAAAATGTTGGATTGTTGCTCAAAACTGCCAAGTTTCGACAACGCGTTCAATAGCGAGGACATACCTGAGGCCGCGCGATGACCACGCACCATGCAACTTGGACGAACATGCGGTGCGAACGTATGTGCGCAAAGGGGGCGGGCAAGGAGACGGAGAAGGAAATGTGTCTATGAAAGGGTGTTCCTCGCCGGGCCGCGCGCCCGGGCGCGACGGAGCGGCTACCCAGTTTCTTATACCGGCGCCCCGGTGGGAGGGCGAGACACCGGACCTACGAAAGGGGGGCGGCCGCTGCCAAGCAACGTCTCGGGGAGAGATCGGTTTGGTCGGGGCGTGCGCGCGCCTGTTCTTCTTAAGGGTTTGGCTCGCGCGCTCCGTCCGCGGACCGGTCCAAACCGAGACCGGGAGGACCGTTGAGACGACCGTCCTGGAAAGCACGATTTTAATTGAAATGTAATCATTTTGGGGGTTGTCCGGCCGCACGTCCGGCCACGCGTCCGGCCACATCCGGCCTCACTTTCGGCCGCGCGTCCGGAAGTTGTGCCGGCCACGGGGCGGCCGCATTCCGGCCGCTTGCCGGTCGCAGGTCTGGCCGCGTCCGGCCGCGTGGCCGGACACCTGTGCCGGACACCTGTCCGGCCACACGTTTCGCTTTTTCCGCGCGGGCGCGCCTGCGGAACGCGAGGTGTCGGGGTTCGACCCCCCCCGGCGTCGGTTCTGCTCTTTTGGTTTGCCTGGTTGGTTTGACCCTCTCTGAACCTACCGACGCCGGTGTCTACTTATTACACGACCGCGGCCAGGCTGTTGTCGTGGTTCTTGTCCATGTTCTTCCTCAGGAGGATGCGCGTGCCCTCATAGACTTGTGGTGCGAGCACCAGGGAGGCAGGAAAAGACTAAATTGAGCAGCCTGCGAGGCACCAGGGAGACAGGAAAAGACTAATTGGACAGCCTGGGAGGCACCAGGGAGGGAGGAAAGGACTAATTGGACCGCCTGCAAGACACCAGGGAGGCACCAGGGAGGCAGGAAAGGACACATTGGACAGCCTGGGAGGCACCAGGGAGGCACCAGGGAGGCAGGAAAAGTCAATTCTGTGCTACGAGAAAGCCTTTAAAGGCAATCCTGTGTTACGAGAGGGATGGGCACCACCCCCAAGGAAAATGGTGAGCAGGTATGGGCACCACCCCCAAGGAAAATGGTGAGCGGTTAGGGGCCATTCTTTAGAGCTACGCTCATAAAGTGGACAGCTCCGCCAAGTAGAGCTGCACAGCAGTTGGATAGGAGGCTTAACCCTCCCTATCCCTCAGTTCGAAATGGCTCAAGCTACACGCTTGGACCAAAACGTCGAGCGCCTCATGTATATGGGAGCGGCGCTCTCCTTAAGTTTAGGGTTTTAGGGTTTAGGGTTTAGGGTTTAGGGTTCGCCAACACAGGTGGTGGCGTCCTAGTCAAACCGCCTTAAAACTTATCTTATCCTTTTATATAGGGTGAAACCCTACCACTGACATTTTTGGCTGAGATTTTGAAGCCCTACCACTGACATTTTTGGCTGAGATTTTGAAGCCCTACCACTGACATTTTTGGCTAAGATTTTGGAGCCCTACCACTGACATTTTTTGGCTGAGATTTTGAAGCCCTACGTCTGGTATTTTTTGCTAAGATTTTGAAGCCCTACACCTGGCATTTTTGGCTGAGATTTTGAAGCCCTACGTCTGACATTTTTTACTAAGATTTTGAAGCCCTACACCTGGCATTTTTGGCTGGGATTTTGAAGCCCTACGCTTGACATTTTTGGCTGTGGTTTTGAAGCTCCACGCTCGACACTTAAGTCTTGTTACTGGCGCCTTCAATAATTTAGGCCTTTTAGACAAGATTTGGATGCATTTGGCCTCTGGAGGCTCCCTGGTCGGCCCGGGCTTCCTTTACCAAAACTGGCGCCAAGAGGGAATCGAGCCCAAGGCCTCTTGGACACCTGTGGTATGAGGGCTCCCCCTTGACCACTTGGCCAAAAATCCTTCAACCCAAAACTCCGGACACCGAGCGTGCCTAAATCCAATACACATCAAAAACCCGCAAAACCCTTAAACTTAAAAGCGCTTAACGCTTTTGGTTTTGAGGCATTAATGTCATTGGTTTTGGCCTTAGGGTTTCAAGTTATTGAAAGTTGTGGTTTTGGCGCCTTAATGTTTTTGGCTTGCGCCTGTAGGTTAAGGGACCCATAACACCTTAAATCCTTAAACTATTCGTTTTACAGGTTGAGGGGTTTTATGGTTTGGGGCTACAGGTGTTTAATGCGTTTTGGGGTTTATGATTTTTATGTTTTAGGGTTTAGGGGTGAAACCCTACCACTGAGACTTAAGTCTTGCGGTTTTTTCTATAAGGTGAAACCCTATCAATGACACTTAAGTCTTTTTCCTACTTCCTATCAAAAACCACGTTCTTTTGCATTTTGGCGCCCAAGATTGAAAAGAACGTGTTTTTTGAAGCAAACTAGCGGAACTTCCTATCAAAAACCACGTTCTTTTCCA